AAAATAGGAAACCCTCTAGCTTTCTCAGTACATATACTATATGAATTATATACCACGTCTGACCTGACAAAAACTTTATTCCATTGAGGTTTAGCAAGATTTTTCTCAAAAATTATTTTATAATCTATACTTTTTGTATTTTGATAATTTTTGAGTGTCAGGATTTTGAAAAGTAAAAGCTCCAGCTATAAAGGCAGTATACTCTCGAAGTGAAGGATGGATATATTCATCCACACAACTAGTCAGCAGACACATTGAGGGCAGACAATGTGCCAGGCACAATGCTAATAGTCCCGACAGACATGAAGACAAACACAAGTCAGGTCCTGCCTTCCAGAAAACAGCACAAATTCAGTATGTTGTGGCGTCAGAGATTTGAATACACAAATGTCAAATAAAATGTATTGATTTTCAGTTCTACTGTGACCGAATATCTTACAATCACTATATTCATTCATCTTTGGAAGGAGATAATTAAGCTGATGGGAAAGTGTAAGAATTTTAATGTAGTATCTTTGCATGGATTATTAATGAGGTAATTTAAAATCAATACAGCTAACTATTGCTCCTACAGGCAATATTCCACAAATGAGATTTGAAATTATTATTAAAATATTCTAAATAGACATCTAATGACTCCAGTTTAATACCCGAATCTTTGGCATGCTGGAGAAAACCAGACCATGTAGGCATTCAAGGGAAAAGCATTTCCATGGAGAACCAAACCCTGACTGTACAGTGTTTTCCTTGTTCAAGTGCTTTATTACCTACACACCACTGAATGTTGTATAGAGTTAGGATATCAGGGTAAATAACTCTTCAGTGCAAACTGAAAAGCCTCTGCCATGACCAGTAAGCTAAGGCTGGGAAGGGAATAGAGCCCAGCATGTTTATTATTCTATTTAAGGGGAAGAGATTCACTATAGTGCCTCAAAGCAGATTTATAGAAGGTTATAAAAACAAACTTAAACAGTCCACTCTTAAAATCAAAAGTTCATTTTTCTACTGAATAAAACCACCACCAACATACCTAACCCAAGGAGCTAACCAAACTTAGAGTCATAATCAAGGTTATGGTTAGGCTGAATGTAAAACTCTCTTGTCCTACATAGTCCATTATGGGAACCAGTGGCCACATAGGATATTTGAGCATTTGAAATGTAGCCATTCCTAAGTGAGACATGCTTTGAAAAGAAATACACACTAAATTTCAAAACAAAATGTAAAATTTCTCAATAATTTTAATATTGGTTAATATTTTAGATGTATTGGGTTACTTAAGGCAGTAAAATTAGTCTTAGCTTTCTTGTTACATTTTTAATGTGGCCACGAGATAATTCAAAATGACATATGTGGCTTGCATCTTAATTTCTATTGGACAATGCTGATTTACTGCTTTTTCCCCCATAAAGCATCAATACCCACAAGAAAATGGATTTACAATATATCTTGTCTGATGACCTTTATAGTCTTAGATACTATAAGAATATTAGCCCATAATCAGTAGAATGGAATTTATGCAGAGTACTTTTCATGTTCAAACCATTCTTATATAAGTAGTTTAGAAATTTATACTGGTTTATGCTGTTTTGGTTAGAATAATTTCACAGTTCTGGCTGAAAGAATTTATAGCTCTGTATTTCAGGTTCTAAAAAGTCTTGCTTCACAGGCACATCTGTAGACCATGACCCCATTCACCCATTCTCACCTCATCAGTTAGCTGGAATTTCCAAAAGAAATTAGCTATGAAGCCCTCTGGGGCACTCTCCTCAGAGTACCTGTACCTTATGCTGTTAGTCTGTGAGATCCCAGAGGGCAGGTGCCCGATCTTGGTTCTGTTTTTACCCCCCACTGCAACCAGAACTGATCTTGACACAAAGGTACATGCATCTGATAGATGTTTGTTACATGTGTCAAGCTGATGGTGTAGGGAAAAGAGTTTTTTCTTTCTCTCCCTTATATTATTGTATCACCTAGGACACTGACAATCAACTGTGATTCATATCTCATTTATTCAAATGTGCAGGTGTCACTGGCTGCTAGAACGGGTCTGGGGATGTAGCAGTGAATAAAACTGGCACAGTCTTGTCTTTACAGGGGAGGCAAACAAAAGCACACCTATTATATAACTACAATAAATGTGCAGGTGCCACCGAGGAAAAGCAGAACAAGCATTCAGCGATGCACCCTGGTTGAGCCACCTCCTAGAGTCACTGAGAGGCTGAGTGATCCAAGTATTCAGCAAACTGCTTGAGTTTGGGGATATTTCTTTTGCTCATCTGGGCCCAAGGACTAGGGAACTGGGTGTTTGCGAGACTCTCACATACTCGTCTCAAGGACACATGAGTTCCAAACAAGTGTATCTGACTAGTCACCTTTCAGGAGCTTGCTAACCAGAGTCTGCTCCCAGTTCAAGAAATTAATGGAAGAACTAAATTATATATATCATAAACCAATGAAACACATATTTTCTGAATTCCTTAAAATGGTTATGAAACTTTGTTTTGCTTGGGACTCTTCTGAGTGACACCTGTATGTGAGCTGAAACCAACCTAAGATAGCCTGGTGATGGCCTTCATTGTCTCCTTGGCAGCAGATGTCCACTTAATTTTCAAATAGCCATAATACCAATATGTTGATAGCCAGCTAGCACATTTGGCATTCTGTTAAAATTCATGATTTAAAAAAATTCAAATCTCCCAATTACATTGTCTTCTAATAGTTTTTTTTGAACAAAACTATATCTCAACCGCACTATTTGTTTTCTTTCTGAATTTTTGTTATACCACTCTGAAAGTAAGGAGCCTCTGTACCTGAATGAAACAGAACCTAATCTTCTCAAAGACAAAACTACACAACAGAAAATCAAGGGCTTAGGTGGCAGGCAGACCTGCACTCCAATCCTCACTTTATTCCCTTCTAGACAGGTTAACTTCTAGAACATTTCTTAAACTCTCTGGTCCTTGTTTAATCCTGCATAAAATGAAGTTAGCATATGTATTAGTTTTCTAGGGCTGCCATAAATTATAACAATGGGTGTCTTAAAAAACAGAAATTTATTCTCTCATAGGTCAAGTGGTCAAAAAAGCCTGAAATCAAAGTATCAGGAGGATTAGTTCTTTCTAAAGGCTCCATAAGAGCATCGTTCCTTATTTCTTCCAGCTTTTGGCAGTCCCTCAAATTCCTTGGCTTGTGGTAGCATAATTCTAATCTCTGCCTTCATGTCTACACAGGCTTTGTCCTGTACCTCTGTGTTTTCTTCCTATATTAATACCAATCACCCTAACTCCAGGATGAGTTCATTTCAAGATCACTAATGACATCTGAGAAGACTGTATTTTCCAATAAGTGACATTCTGAGGTGCTGGGTTCCTCTGAACTTTGGGGGACATACTGTTCAAAGTGCTATGCCACCTACAATAGGACATAGTTCCATTATTCCAAACACCTATGGCTTCCCTCTCAGAATTTGTGTTACAATGGATTTTCAGTCTCTTTCTACACTATGAATTGTTCAATCAGAAAAAAATGGTCACATTTAGAGATGAGACAGTATATAAAGACAGCATATACAAAAGTGTTATATTTATCTTAGCCCTACAACAGTGAGTTTTTGCAAAACTCGTGTGGAAATGCAAGAAAATCATAGCACACCTTAAAATTCTGTGCAAAGATAAAGACAAAAATGTCTGGCTCCTATACGATAATTTTTTGTGGTAAGGCATGGTGAGCAGTTCCTTTCGGAGCTTGGCTCATTACAGTTGTTACAGATTAAGGAACTTATATACATCTAGAAGATCTTTGTATTTCTATGGAATTATAAAGGTCAAGAAGATAAGTCTGAATAAAAATCAGAAACTTGATTTTTGCTATTCTTTACCTAATCTGTTAACAATTTGGTTACCAGGAATCCCTGGTTCCTACAGCTTATTTGTGTCTATACTTTCATCCTCATGGAATCCCACTTATAATGTATTTTAAAAAGAAAAAAAATTGAGAATGTTATCACATAAATTGTGTCCATCTGCAAAACAGCAGCTATGCGGTCCTGGGTTAGTTAAAATTGAATGGACGCTTCAGTCAGCGACAGGAGGCAGTAGAGAGCCACGCTGAACTCCCTGCACTCACAACTGCTTCCTAGCATCCCACACCTTGCCTTTTCATATCTGCTGTCCACTAATGCTCAGTATCCAAGCAGATTGGGGCTCACTGCCTGGACACTCCCTAGGACAATCAAAGACACTGGAATCCCAACCTGAAACTCCCAAAGAAAATAGTCTCAGGAGTAACAAGTTTTGCAACTAGTCGTACCTCTCATGTAAATACACTAAGCTGTGCTTCAAGCCTCTGTATTCTGCAGTTAGTAACTGCCATACAGCAAGAGAAGTGAGTGGATCTGTGATGTTGGCTCCTTTGCTCTGTTAAACTTTGTGCCTATGGAGATTGCCCCAGTTCTGCCAGCTTCTCTTTACAAGGTATACTGCTCCATTATCTCTATTACAACTTGTCTACAGTTAGCAGAAACAATTGCTGAGCTATGATGTGCTTGTCAAGGAATTAGAATTAAGACCAACCCTCCAAAGATGTCAATCATACTTGCATGAATAGATACCCTCTGTATTTCACAAAGCTATTCTACTTCCTATTTTTTACACTAGAAGGAATTACTCTCTTATCCAAAATGTACCCTAATTTTCTTTCCATACCTTAAAAATGAAAGTTGCATTAATAACAGCTTGCAGCTACCCTAACATAAGTGCCACCCAAGCTACCCATTCAATCCTACTAGTTAAATATACTACAGTCAGATAAAATATCAGAGAATTTTCTAGTTACTTCAAGTGTTAAAAATCTCCCCTCCACAGTTAATGTGCTATATATAAAGTCACTGAACCTCCAGAACAGGACTGAAGGAATAGACACACAGCAAACCTAAGACATCTAAGGGAAACTAGAAGTTACCTGGAGGGACACCCTGAATATATGAAGTGATCTCTTACCTGGATTGGGTTGAAGGTATTCAATTGTTTTAGTCATTATCTCCATTACAGCTCTGCTGGTGACATCTACTTTCTGAAATGAGAAAACAAATCTTCTAAATGACAACAATCACTAGCTTCAGAAACTTAGTGTGTGCTTGTGTACATACACAACCACTGGTGGTGTAATGGAGCAGAGCACAAGTCTTGCGGTGGAAGATTAGGGGCTCTGAGGAGGTGCCAGAAGTAATAATAGCTTTGCATTGAGCTATGCTGGATAAAGATTTGAAAATTTGGTTTAACCAAAGAGGAACCTGGTAATCTACTTAAATTTATTTCAAAGTATGTTTCTTTTTTTCTGGCTAAATAAACAGGAGATTGTTTTCTCTTCCTTTAACTGGCTTACAAAGGTCTCTGAAAATGGTTTGTTACTCATTTGACAAAGAACAACCCACAAAATCATGTATAGCAAGATCTTCCTGTTCACTTTAAGAACACCAGTGAAACCAGCCAGGCCAGGGTGGGTATACATATCTGAAAGACACACAGGTCTCTCAAAGAAGTCACCTGAAGCAAAGCGTATCATCTTGTCATTACAATGTTGAGTAGAGAGGGGTGCCCAGGCCAAACAGCAGGGCTGGGGGCAGGTTCCATAACAGAAAATGAGGGCTGACTGCTTTAAAATGCAGCAATTTATGCTGAACTTGAGGACTTTGACAGATTCGCTGTTCATTGAGCACATTTAGGTAAATGAAACTTGTAAGGTGGTTCCTAGACTTACAGGGTTCCTGATAAGATTAGTCTCTGCTTTCCCTTCCACACTGGAAGGCTCCTTATTGGAAAGGAGCAAATTACTCCCAATTCAGAAAAGGAGGTTGCTTAGAAGAAGACATCCCAAGAGGGGGGAAAAAAAAACCTTACAAAACAAAACAGGAAAACAGGAATACAGCATAAAATAAACCTAAAGTTTACTCACTGTTTAAAGATTTATTTATTTATTTATTTATGCATAAAAGAATTGGGGTGTAGGCCAGAGGTGCAGTGGGTGAGAGGGGTCACCAGAGACAGAGTGGGGAGTAGAAGAGGTGGATCTACTGAAATACACTGCTGAGAGGAGCAGTGGATGAGACAGGAGAGGTCTGCTGTGCAACTGGGTCAGCTCCCTGGCCCGGGATTAAACTCAGGCCACAGCAGCAATAGCATGATAGTAGTGAGACTTAACTTTCATACCCCCCCCCTTAATAAAATTTTAAAAGAGACAATGAATTATATTTTGCCCCAGAGACATTTTACTGAATGTGTACAGTGGGCAGGCAAGGTGGCAGCTTTGCTTCCCAGCCCCACCATGAAAAATCCAACATCAACTATGTTATTTTCAAATAAGAGAGGCAAAGTTTTTACTTAATTTTTAAGAATGACATACGCATATAAAAGTCTTGATAAAACATTCTAATCACTCCTTGAGATTTTGACTAATTGTAAGTAAAAAGCCTGGCACTAAAGTTCATCCTTGGAAACTTTTGTATGTTCAGTCTTTGCATTCATGATGTCACCACCTCTTTCTGTTGGGACCTTCTACCTACATGGGGAGGCTGTGTAAGCTGTTCCCTCCAAGCCAGTCCTCTCTACACTCCCCAGGATATTTTTCTTTTATCAACATTTGCATTGCATTCATTCACTCTAGGGGGGTAAATGATTAGTGAAAACAAACACATCTTTCTCTCCCAGGTATGTGCAGGAAATACTTGACACAGATATGAGTGGAAAAAAAATTTGATGGTGGAATTTCAGATAGCAATTGATTCCAAGGGATTTTTATTTTTATTGGAGGTAAAGGGCTCCTCTCTCAATTCTAAGGAATTTTTCAATAACCAACTACACCTACCTAGAAAAACAACTTTTATGGATGGGCTAAGTCTCCTCCTCATTCACACTCAGAAACTAAACTATAATCCATCAGAAGACTTTATCTTTGGTTTACTGGAGTCTATCACTATGTGTATTAGGTTTTTGCTACTATTACAATAAACAGAGGACAGCATAATTTTTCCTTCTGAGATCATCATGGTATGAAAGCACTCCTATTTAAGAGGTGCCTGCCCACATTATGAACCCTGCCCCACCTCCTGTTGGATAACTTTAATTTTTAAGATGTCTTAAATTTGAGTATGCACAAAACAGTATTTAGTTGTGAAGTAAAATAGTAGTCCCCAGAGTTGTGTGGTATAGGGCTTGTGGGGCCACCCATGGAGATTCTGGTAGTATTAGCAAAACACCACCCAACTGCTGTGTACTCAAAGCCATGAAAGTGGGTTCAAAAGCTGTGTCCAGACCTAGTATGCTGAAAGTCCATGTCACACCCATGACAGAAGGAAAACACAGCTCTCCACTGCATGTAAGACAGGGAATAAGAAGTTTGTGGCAGAGTATATCCAAGGGTTCTGTATTGCTATGCTTGGAAGAAAAGTAATTCTAAAGGTCAAGATTTCCAAGAGCTAAGTTGTTCAATGACTGTCTGACATCTGGTGCTAGAAATTTAACCAACTTCTAAGTTTCTCCCATCTCTGCCCTCAGTAATAATTATCACTACCATCAGTCATAAAGTGCTTTCTCTTTGTCAGACATTGTTCTAAGGACTTTAAATATTTTTACACATTTTAACATTAGCAGCTATAAAATAGAGGTTAAGAAACTTGCCCAATTCTGGCTCCAAAGTCTATGTTCTTTTTTTTTTTTTTAAAGATTTATTTATTCATTTATTTATTATTTATTTATTTATACAAGCACTGGGTACAGTCAGAAGCGCGGGAGGGTGAGAGAATTCACCAGATCCAGAGAGGGGAGCAGAGCAGGCAGAAGGACCGAAATACACTGCTGAGGGGAGCAGTGGGCGGCAGGAGAGGTCTGCGCGCCATGTGGGACCCTCCTCCGGTGGCCCGGGAGCAGCCAGGGATTGAACCAGCGCCGCAGATGCAGCAGGCAGCTTCGCAACCCAGCACTCAACTGCTGCGCCACCGGGGAGGCCCCAAAGTCTATGTTCTTAACTACTACCCTATACTTTTTGAAAAAGGCAACTTGTAAAAAGGCAACAGAGACATCTTCCAACCTGAAGAAATACCAAGTCAGAGTAGAGGCTCTTTGTACCACGCCTTGGATGCAGCTGAGACCCTGGCAGGGCCAATCACACAGGACCAGGATGAAAGCACCTGCCATCCCATTTTGTTTTTTTGTTTTGAAAGTCCTCAAGATCTGTGGAAACTTCATCCATACTAACTATTCTACCCTGAGCCTCTCTGAAAGGGAGGTTCTCCCATGCCAAGCAGTTTGACCTCATGTCCTAAGTTACACAGGGCTCTCTACCGAAATGCCAAGAGGATGAATCTTGCATAGTCCACAGGGAAGTCACCAAGAAAGGCATGAAAAGTGGTTCTCATTGGGGGTTTAGAAATCCCCTCAACTCTGTAAATAGAAGCCACTAGCATGGTTTAAGTCAGTAGTTGCAGGGGAGCACAGACAGGCTGGAGACAGCAATTTTAGAGCATTAAGTTTGGTCTCCAGAATGGGATAAATCCCTCTTTTTTTTAAAGATTTATTTATTTATTTATACAAGCACAGGGTACAGTCAGAAGCATGGGAGGGGTGAGAGAATTCACCAGAGCCAGAGCGGGGAACAGAACAGGCAGACCAACAAAATACACTGCTGAGGGGAGCAGTGGGCGAGACAGGAGAGGTCTGCGTGCCCTGTGGGACCCTCACCAGCAGCTGGGAATTGAACCGGCGCTGCAGAGGCTGCGGGCAGCTTCGCAGTCCAGCGCTTAACCGCTGTGCCACCAGGGGAGGTCCGGGATCAATTCCTTTAGAAGGAGATTAGAAATAAGAAGCACCACAGTATCCCCTGTGGTTTGACCAAAGTTTCCCAGGAAGGAAGCCAGACAACCCAAATCTTTAGAGACCCTGTGCTCATTTGAGGTTGACCCTTTCAATGCTTTAGCCACCTGCTCTAAACCTAACAGAGTAGGCTTTACTTAAGTCCTTTTGTTCAGAAAGTATAATAACCTTCACTTGAAATCCACCGTTGAAGCAACTTTATCTAATGTAACTATTTGTGTACTGCATTATCAGAATGTATCCCGAACAAGGGACAGCCATTAGTAAATGAGTTTACTAGGATCTTGCTCCTGATTCTACTCTGACAGATAATCACTTGACAGAGTTAGAGGTAGTGAACACAGGAAGAAGAGACCAGCAGAGCACCTATCTAATTCAAAGTTTTAATGTTTTAAATGTGCAAGTCTGAAGCTAAAAAAGGGAAATTAATTCCCTGAGGTCAAGGGTCTACTAAGAGGAACCAGGTTTACTAACCTGCAGGTAGAAGGCTGACCATTTCTAACTTCTCTTCATCTGTCCTGTCAATGATGTTCAGGAGTCTTTGTGTCACACTATGCTATATTGCGTCAGTCATGGACAAGCTGATGATGGTCATGAACCTGTGAGAACCTTAAATGCACCTTGTTGAAAGGCTAGGAAAGTTATTCATATATCTAAACTGATGCTGTGAAAGCATATACTCTCTTATTAACAGTCCTGATATAATTAGATGAACTACGAAGATTTTCACTTAAATAATTTATTATAATTGGCAAGAACATATTCCCATGTGATAACAGCACAGTTTAACTTTGAACTTATGACACATAGCTAAGGATTTCCTCAATGTCCCAATTTTCCTATTACTTGAAAATAATTTTGATATGTCCTAAATTACAACCTTTATTCTTGTGAGCTCTGGGCCCACCATTTATTTACCTAACCTTATCTGGATGGGGGAAAGAGCCACTAGGAAAGGCTGTCCAGAGAAGGTAAAATGAAATATATCCAGGCATGTTCTCAGAAATAAAATCTCTGTTTTTCCTGAAAGTAAACATGTAGGCATATATTTGTTAGGTCTTTTTCCCTTCAATTTTCTCAATATGAAGATTTCAACAACTCCCAATCTTTAGAGTCAGGCAGTACTTCCACCACTATCCAGTCTTGTAACTATAATATTGGGTTGGGAGAGAAACAGCTCTCTTCATCCTCTTTACTCTCTGTAAT